TCTGGTTGTTGTTGCTTTTGTAGGACTAGGAGTCGGAGTAGGAGCAGGCGCAGGTGTGACAGTAGGAATACGGAATACGGGTTACGAGACCGCCAGCAGCTGCACCACTAGTCAAATGGACTCCCGAACAAAGAAGCTCAACATGTCTTAAGCATCGATGCGCCCACAAACCATGAGATCTCGCTTCACTACCTTTGGCAACTTCTCGCATCAAACTGACATGAGGTGCTCGAAGATCCTATAGAGCCAAACGTGATCCGCAAAAAAACCGACAGCATCCTTTCCTACGCCCAACCCTCAGCCCCAAACAGAAAATAATTACACAGAGCTCGAAACTTCAAAAAAAACTCCGGCGACTGTCAGACCTTGGAGTTGGCGAAGCGCGGGTGCTCTCTCCAAGCCTCGTCCCTTGGGCTGGCGCTGTGTTTGTTTTGTCTTTTCTTGCAGTGTCAGTCAGATATGTGTGCGTGCATGTATGCATGTATGCAAGCATCCATGCATCCATCCATGCATGCATGTCTATATACGCACACACAATCATGATTTTATGGCACTATGTGCCTGTTTACAGGTATGGACAGGGTCTTCTGGAAGTTTGTCACAGATAGGGAGTTTAATTCTTGGGGCTTTAGGACTTGAAGTGGTTATGGCACATAGGTATGGGGTGGAGGGACCGGTCGGGCGAGGGGCTTCGAGAGGACAACAGGACATCCAAGCTTTGCACATGTGGGCCATGTGGGTAGTTGTCAAAATTGTGGCCCTTTTTTGGGCACCCTAAATATTAGGTGCCGTATTATGATAAGGATCCAAGAAAGGGACCATAATTTTGACAACCACCCATGTCAATGAACTGCCCTGTTCGAGCTCTAGGTTCCTCGGATGGCAAGGTTCAGGGAATCCACATATCGCCTTCGGAGTTTCAAAGACAAGGGAAGCTTGACATGGAACCCCAGCAGACGGAAAGAAACGCCCCAGAAACCGTTTATGAATTATATAGAAACATGTAAAGGAGTAGCATCCTTATTCAGACGGTAGACCCGTATCCTATTATAAGCAGACAGTCTTCATCCTTGCCGTCTTTTACTATGATGGTTAACCGTACTTACAAGAATCAGAAGAATACTTAACATTTAACAACTATACTAATATCAACAATAACAATACAAATACTAATAGCCAATACTAATAACAATAACTAAAAGGAATGGTACCACTAAAAGAATACTAAAAAGAAGAACAGTACCTGTTGTTGAACAGCGACCCGAGCCTGGGCCTCCCGACAACTCCCTGGCGCGCTTGGTGCCCGGGACAATGCGCCAGAAAGCATCCTGCAAAAGCTCCCGGATTGAGGGTGTAGGGTTGAGGGTTTAGGGGTTGCGGGGTTTACAGTAGGGGTTTAGGGATTAAGGGTTTAGGGTTTCAGAAAGTTTTTTCAGAATCTCCGTGGGGTTGTCTATGGGTTTTGCAGGGCTTCTTTGAGATGTTCAAAGACTTTATCGAAGGTTGCTATAGGGTTTCTCATCCAGAGCTGAAGACCGAAGTTTGGAACATGGACCAATGCTGGGATTTCCTTCTTCACCTTCAGGGCGTCCGGTGTAGGGCGTAGGGTTTAGATATTCCGACATGTTCCGCAAGACTTAGGGAAGCGTAGACAACCCCACCGCTACTCATCCTCTTTAATCCGACATTGTAGAATTTCCTGCAGACCTCAAGGCTCACGAGGGCTTAGGATCTCAGGTAGACATTCAAGCAGTGTCCGGGCTGGGATTTGAAGACCCTCGTGAGACTTGGTATATAGCCTTGGCTGTATAGGCCTAGGCGTTGATCAGAGACGCGCCGTAGGCCAAGGCCAGATCTGACTTCTGTCCACTCAATAGGTTCAGGCTTAGGGGTTGTTTGCTTAACGCCTCGTTCTTCCTGCTCAATCAAGTGTAGTCGAACGACTATTGAGGTGTTGCGTTTAGGGTTTAATAATAACCGGGACACAACTAAAGCCTGACGCCTAAGCCCAAAATCCCAAACTCTAAACCCTAATAAGCCCTGAACACTACATGAGGCCAAGACTCGATAAGAACAGGCCCATGCAACCCTAACAGTTGAGAAGCAAACTTTAAACCCGCAGCCCAAAACCTAGAACCAGCCCCACTCCCATTCTCAGCTTGCCTCCTGGAAGGAGTACAGCACCTAAGCCCGAGAAGGAAAGGACGAGTCCGGAATAGATCTGATGGATTTGTTGTAGTTACTCTCTTGGGTTTAGGTTTCAAGGGTTCCATCTCGGGTGTTCGGGCTCTAGTTTAGCGACCCTAAACTCTATAACCCATTTTCTCCGAGGGCTTTGCAAGTGGGCCTTTGGATCTACTGCAGTTTCATTGTCAGGCTTCTGAATGGCTTCAGGCTTCCTGGATGTTGCGACTATGTAGACTGTTGGAAGTGTCACGGGGATAAGTCTGAGGATTCTGCACACGCAGCTTCGAAGGTGTATATGAACCCAAGCCCAGGAATTGTAGAGCCTGGGGTGGAAGACAGTATACCTGTATTTACTTATAGCCCCAAGGTGCTTATAACGGTACTTACTAACCCTAAACCCTGAACCCCTAAACCCTAATGCCTAAACTCCTAAACCCTGAAACTCTAAGGGTTCAGTAAGCTTAGTGCTTCGAAAGTCGGAAGTGCCGTCTTAGCCTCAAAGCCGTCACCCCTAAACCAGGGTTTAGGGATTAGGGAAACCAGAAGCCCTGCGTTACGATGTTCCCCAAACCCTACCTGATGATGACGATGACGATGGTAAGGATAACGAGGATGAGGACAAGGATGACGATGATAGGTGTAGAATCAAGCCAGAACCGACAGCGACTGCGCAAGCTCCGCGCAGCAGCGAAAATCGGCAGAAGCATGGGCCTTGTAGAGCTTTTCTTTAGTGGACTGTGCAAATCGGGCGTTTTGAGGCTCCAGAGCTGGACTGCTGGACTAAGAAGCCTGAAGTGGGAATCCCCAGAGGCCCTCTGAACCCCGAAGGCCCTAAACCCTAATCCAAGTCACCTAGGTGCTAAAGCGTCTTTCGCCACTTCCTCCTCCCGCTCCAGGGCTCCTTCGGTAATGGGAGAGACAAGAAGGCTGGCTGTATCTTGTTTAGGGTTTAGGGTTTAGGGTTTAGGGTTTAGGGTTTAGGGTTTAGGGGTTTAGGGTTTAGGGTTTAGGGGTTCAGGGTTTAGGGTAATTGTACTAGACAACCCTACCATAATACCAGATAGTATGACAAACCTGGTGTGGCATAACAGTAGTTGTTTCCATTGAAGGGCACTAGATCTATGCATACACACGAAGATATACATGTGATTTCTGAGCTAGACACACAGATATAGATCTAGGTGTAGGGGTGTATGTAGACGTGGATGTAGGAGATAGCGATGGATGTAAAGAAGTGTGGACAGGTAGAGGTAGATAAAGGAGATAGAGATAGATATAAAGATATGTAGATACGTGGATGTACCAACAAATCCTGGTGTACATATGCAGACAAGAAGCCCTCAACTTGCAAACACACATGGTGTGATTGTATACATGCCCCTCTGCCTACACGTGTATGTCCGTCTTAAACCCCAACCTGAACCCTAAACCGTAAGCTGTAGCTGGGCACCGGGCCGCTCCGGGACCACGGCAGACATGGACTCCGATTTTATTTGGTCTTATTCTTCTTCTTCTGATACTTCTTTTTATTCTTAGTATCACCATTATTAATTTACTCTTGTTTGGGAGGGGGGGGCGAGGGGGTTAGAAGCTTAGGGTTGAAATAGGCTGCTTGGCATAGGTTCGGGGCCTGAATGTCGGGCTTGGGCGTCTGATCCCCAGTGCCCAGTACCATGTGGGAGTTTCCGAAAATTCGGGTACTTGATTTAGGGGTCCTTACAATAAGGACCCTTAGCGTACTGCAAAAGGACCCCCTATTTTCGGAAACCCCCACGTGGCCTGACACCAGTGGTCGAAATACTTTGGCTCGAAGGTCAGGATCGTAATGTTAGGACTACTTTGAGTCTTCTCGCATCTCTCATCGGTACCCGCTAGTGGCATGAGTCTTTCCTGTACTGCTGCTATTACAATGGCTCCAGAATAACCTGTAGTATCTGTCGTGAACTATCTGATTCGAAAAGCCGTACAAAAGCTGCAGAACCCTGCATTACTTATCTGATTCGAAGAGCCGTACAAAAGCTGCAAAACCCTGCATTACTTCTGAACACAACACAGCATATCAGTCGAGGGAACATTGTAAGTAGCTGCCAACTCTTCTTCTCAGTTTCTCTGATAGTTCTGCTCCGCCGACCACTGCGACCTTAACCAATCGCACTACTACCACGAATGGCGCGATCAAAAAACAGTAGGCAAGAGCAACAATCTGTATGCAAAAGAGCAAACGATGCAACCCTGAATCCTTACATCCTTAAACTCACGAGTTTACGCTGAAGTCTCCGACTTTGAGGGCTTGCTGTGTTGTGATTTAGCACCAATAGCACTAGTACGGCAATAGCTATAATGCTGTAATGATATGATCGTAGTCATAATACCAATGACGAAATCAAGAATAAGAAGAAACAGATATTTGTGAGTTTAGGGGGGGTGCGATTAGTGTGTTTTGCGGCTACGACTGCAACGCAGGGTGTGCAACTCAGACGCCTTCATCCGCAACCGGGCTTTGGGGCTTCTAGAGCCTCGGGTGGTGAAATACGACGTCAAGCTCTGTCCCCTTTCCTGGGGCATAACTCTGAAGCTCTACATATGGGAGTTTCCGAAGATTAGGGGGTACCCTATTTGGGGTCCTTATAATAAGGATCCTACTATTTAGGGTACTGAGACGTGAGTTTCAAGCCTAGCAAAGCCTACAAGGCACATCCAATGGGCACTCGCATCTTTCAGGGCCCACGAGGCCTTTGAGGTTAATACGCTGCCACCCAGTCTATTCCTGCCTTTTGTCGGCGGGAGGACGGGTTCGAACAGGAACGGGAACATCAGGTGCTCAGCTTGAAGACCACCACGGCAACCAGAGACAGCAAGTGCAGTGGCAACATGTTTGCTGCTGACACCGTGTCGCAATCGACATTGATGCCGTTTACGAAGAAGCCCCCATCCGATCTTACCGTAGGCCCACAAAAGGTGAAATCATCGGGCATGTCGTCCTTGGTTCAGATTTTGCTTGGCTTGGTTCTGTTTCTTCAGAGTGTGCCTGAACTACTGGAGTTGAAGTTGTCAGGTCATTCGGCAGGGGCAATAACAACAGGCTTAAAAAGGGACCCGGATTTCACGAAGCACCTCCCGCTGAGGACCCTTATCAGGATCTCTATGGTCCGCCTCTGATGCCAAGGCACTTTGCTGATCTGCTCCTTCTTTTCGACAAAGATGCCCGTGACGGCCTTCTCGCTGTTATTCTGGAGGTCCAACGCAAGGACCTCCATACCCACCACGAGGTTTTCCACAGGTCTTCTTGAAATAGAACCCTGTGCATCCTTTATGAACACGACCGCCTCTTCAGCCATGTGCAAGGGCTCCTCACGTCCACTGAAGTAAACTTTGTAGACATCTTGCTCCAAGTCTTTGATGGCCTTGCAATAGGTGCCCTCCAGGTCCGAAGACTCTGCCTGAGGTTCTGTCACTTGCGTGCGGCTAAGCTTCCAGCTCTCGCTGTCGCCGCGAGACCACAAAGAGAGTCCGTGAAGCAGGTACTCAACCTTTCGTTTTCCAGCCACCAAATTGGACCCCTCTTTTTTATAGGTGGAGACGGAAGAACCCTGCCAAAAGCACTTACCAAATCGGGAGCCGCTGGACCTCGCCGCCTGTATCGCCTGTTTCAAGAAGAAGCTTCTCAGTCGGGGTCCGATATGCTCCCAGCAGGAACGCCGGGAATGGCAGTTTTCCACATGCCGGAGAATGACGGCACTGCGAGTGGCCTGCTTCGAGCGGTAGAGGAGCTTGCGGAGGTTCAAGAGCCCCACCTTCGAGAGAAGTTTTCGGAGGAAGCCTGTTCCAGATAGCGTCTCAAGAAGCTCTGCTGATTGAGGGGCGGCCGTATCGTTCTGGAAGGATTGCTCCGCAAAGTGAGTATCCATCAGCCCCTCGGCTTCGTGGCAGAACTCTTCAAGCGCCGGGTCGGGCGTGTCCTTCACATGATCGCCGGGGCCAAAGCTATGCGTAGAGAAATCGAACATGGTTGCAGCAAGCTCTCCACAAAGCACCTCATTGTACTGGCTGTTGCAGCACATGTCGAAACCTAATTTCCAAGCAGACCAATTCGCATGGTAGAACTCTTGCGCCTCATCTTCACAATCCTTGCAAAGGCAGTGGTGGATCATTTTGCGACAACCTGCGTGTTGCTTGGACGCGAAAGGGTTGGAAGAGCTTTGTGAAGCATGCTGTAACAATGAGCCACTCATTGCTCTGTGCGAAGCTGCACACTGGCTTGCGTCACTGCCTTGGGCAATCCCAAGACTTGCGGCCAGCAGGGCAGACACGGCAAAAAGCATTGCCATGGCGGTAAAGCAGAGAAAGTCTAGATCTGACCGGACCGAGCCGCAATTTTGGAAGAACACACTTGTCATTGCCAACTACTCAACTGCTCCACCATGAGCGATTCTCAACACCTGTGTTTCCTGTCCGCAGCAGCAGGGAATTTGAGGCAAGTCAGCAGATGAGTCCTGAGTCTTGCTTTCGTTTGCTTAGCAAACAGCTGTCTATTCCTACCGTTTTGTTTCGACAATGTCACTTCCGAAAAACTAAAACAAAACCTTGGGATGTTTGCGTAGTCTATGCACACGACTAAACGTCGGCCCATGACCCTTCTTCTGATTTCCTCGTTGAGACCAGCAAACGTTACAAACCCCAGCCTGCATGCCCCAAGTACTGATGTTCATCATCATAACGACTGTGACCTGTAACCGGACCGGCTCCCTCGATCCGTGGCATGGTTCTACCGGAATCCGTTCTTTGAAACAACAAGCTGCCGCGACAAGTGCCTGAGCAAGGAGCCAGCTTTTCAGTAAATTGCAAAAAGGACAGCGGATATCTCGCACGAGGTCGGTTCGTAGTTCATCATTCCGAACAGAAATGTGATCGGTGTTTTTTGGGGAAGGACCGACTGTTTACCAGTCAGCCCTTGCAGAATGGAAAAAGAGGAAAATTGGAAACATAGATAGAGTGATGAGAATGGGTGAAACTGAAACTTTCGAATCTTATGCCAAAATGGAACGGTACATAAAATTCGCAAGAATCGATCGACTACATCCACAGATCGATTCGGTGTGAATGTGAGATTTGGAAATGTCACTTCGCACAAACAAGTGTGTGTGCTACACGACAACGGATATCTCACGAGGTACCATAAAGCCCTGGTGCAGGCGGATCTTTTTCCGCCAAGATGGAAACGGTACATACACAAGTTCGCAAGAATCGATCGACTCCATCCACTAATCGATTATTCGATGTGAATGTGAAATTGGAAATGTCACTTTGCACAAACAAGTGTGTGCCACACGACGGATGTCTTACACGAGGACCAAACCCTGGTGCAGACAGATCATTTTCCACCTGCTTCCGCAACGCTGGCGTCAGTCTGCGTATCGATCGATCTTCATTAAAGGCATAACTGGGGCCCAGAAATGGCTCCCCAATCTGAGCTCCAATTTGGGGCCCCATTGCTTCTGGTAGCATGTCGAGCTGCCAAGAACATCGGTGACATTACTTCGCTTCTTCGACTGGCTTTGACATGCTCGAAATCGACAGATTTCACACACAATTGAGCTTGCTTGTCCAGTAGAGTTTTTGTCTTTCGGACGTGTGGCGTTTTTGTCTTTCGGACGTGTGGCGTTCGCCTGGGATGAGAGGACGCGACCGATGGGAAACAGTTGGTTCAGACAACCGATTACATTGCCACATCTGCGTGCACAGCTGGCCGTTGTGTGCAGCAGTGTATACCTCGCTTTGCACTGCTCCTTCAACACTCAAATATACCAAGTGGAACGCTAGGACGCGAGGAAACATGTGAACCTTGCAACAAAACTTTCTCACACAGACTCTTCCAAGTTGACGAGTTCGGTTTCGGCTCCAGCCTTCGGAAGCTCGATTTCTCCGCCTTCGCCCTGCTGGACTCGCAGGCAGGGCTCTTCGCAGCGCGGATTTTCGCAACTATAGTAACTATAGGTCCACCTCGCCCGAACTGCGCTGTTGCGACGCCTGCGGCTCCCTCTGCCGCGACGTTCTCGGGTTGAGAATCACCTCGCCGCATGCCCTTCGCTCCAGCGTTTCGCGCGCGAGAAGTGCAGCAGCTGTTTGCCGTGAAGCTGGTGCAGTGTTTCCACTAATGTCTTGCTGGGGAGGCCCATTGTGGCGAAGCCAGAATTGCTTTCGTTTCGTGGGCCCAGAAACGGGGTCGTCCGCAGCACCATCTCTTGGGCTCATCCTGCTTGCATATCCACTGGAGATCAGTGTCAGTTTGCAAGGATATTTTTATTTTTTTTTGGCGTGGGCGGGCCTCAAAGACAGCAGTTGCTGCACTCGGTCCCAGTAAGAACTACAAGAACTACAAGAATGCAATAAAGAGCTGTACAAGAGAATCATGTAAGGTGAAACGGGCCGCGACTTGCAGACTTAGCCAGCAGGGATCGTTCGGCCTTTCAGAGCGTAGCTTCTCTCAGGTGTCTTGTTAGCCAGGGTGGAGCGGTTTTATACGAGCATCCACAAAGCAGCATGTTCCATTGGCAAGCGCGTAGTGATAAAATGGCCCAGCTTCCCAGTATCGTGGGTCTCGCAACGGCATGTGGCAATTAACAGTAAAGCATGCTGCTGCCGTGCGCCCGTCGTGCGGAGCCATCAGCTGTGTACAAGCTCCTGAGCTAAGGTTTGTGGCCCGCCATGGAGAATCCCAGGAGAACAGGCATACCAGAAATGTAAGGCATTGGGCTGAATTCGCCCAAGGGGCGAGTGCCAATGTCACCAACCAGCAAGCACCAGCCCTTCAATCCAGGCCCAGCTTCCCAACATAGTGGGTCTCGCAAGGGCAGCACAGTACGAGCGCAATTCAACCACGATGCCGCCTGGTAACAGCCGTGTTGGCTAACCAGCCAGGTCTTGGCCCCGCTTGCAAACCAGACCCAGCTTCCCATGTGTGGGTATCGCAAGGGTCAAAGAAAGGCAGGGGCGCACAGAGCTTACTCCGCAGGGAATGACGGGGCTCAGATCATTGCAAAAATTGCCCACGCCCAGCTTCCCATCTTGGTGGCCCTCGCAAGGGCAAGAGCTAATCGTAGAATGAAGATTCAATGTAGTGTGGGGCACAGACCGACAGCGGCGGTCGCAGACGCGTAAGCGGGAGGTCGTCCAACGGCTCCATGGAAAAAAGGGCAGGCCCCGGAGCCCAGGCCATCCCAACGCCCAGGGCTGCGTGTCAATAAGAGCGGACTGGATGGCCGCAGCCGCAGCTCGAAAGAAGTCCGAGCCCTCGTAAAGCCTAATAACCGTCCCATAGGCGAGCCGGGACACAGAATTAAGCTTCAAGATCAACTTGAAAAATAGTGGCGCGCACTTGAAAGCCGAGTCGCACGATCAATTGGAAATCGGTCGCAACCCTAAAGCTGTAGAGAGTGCGCTGCGCTAAGTACGCAGAGACACGGCTGCGATACTCTGCAAACTGCTGCTGAAGAGCGAGACCCGCAGCCTTTCGCTCTAAGATTAGCATGGCCCCTGAGAAGTGTACTAACGTGAAACACAAGCTTGCAGGGACAGCTGCAAGCTGCATAAAGCTGCCTTTTGCGTTGTAGAGTTGTTGTCCAGGTCATGTCCCAAACGGTGTCCATACTTCTTCAGTGAAAGCATGCATGAATCAAAGCATGTTCTTGTGAAGCTCGCACTGCTTCAGCAGTTGAGGCACTCCCGTTTGCCGTGTTGCTTTCCGAAGGTGGAGGAACAATATAGCATGGCCCCTGAGAAGTGTACCAACGTGAAACACAAGATAGCAGAGACAGCTGCAAGCTGCAGGAACTACAAGACCAGAAGAGTAGAGACTACGGTAAGATTGTAAAACCAGAGGAACTCAAGACGGCAAAGACCATTTTAGCTGACTGTAGCTGCCGCGGAGGGCCTCGGAACCCCAGGAGTGAGGCTTTGGACGGAAGGCTTCAGTTTCTGTCTTGCAACCCCACAGTTCGAGAGGCTTTGCACTGTTGGTGAAAATCAAAAGCTGCGACCCCAACTGTAGGGCTGATCCAGCAATTCTGGTTTCGCTTGAGCGGGCCTCCCCTGTGCCCGTTTCTTTCATGTTGATTTAATTTACTTCCATAAAAAAGCAAGGCTTGGAAGCCTAATCCTGAAAGCTTGTTTTTTCCAATCTGGACAGTTAAACTGCAAGACCCTGAGCGTTCACGCTTTTCCTGCAAAAGCCAAAGGCGCTGCACAGTCATTCTTTCATTTCATATGCCGCAGCCTGGGCTCACCAAAGGTGTGGGCGTCCTATGTACAAATCTTAACACCCTGCCTCAAGGTCCTTGCGGTCGGGCAAACCTCCGCCCTCCGATGACGAAGCGAGGCAAATCGTCTGGCACAAAAACCCAGCCTCCGGGGAGGGAGCCTCGAGCTTCCTTTCTTGGAGCCGGCAAATGCGTGAGACATACAGTGTCCCCCAAGGCTCCATTGTTGAGTGGTTCTTCTGCATGCACTGCAGGCACGCAGTCTGAAATAGTACCGCGACATGTTGTCGACTCTATGCTGTGGGACACTCTGGGGACAATGAGATTGTACCAGCCTCTCTTTTGTCCTCTCCGTGCAAGTGTAAGTGCAAGTCGTCCCTCTTGTTTCGACCAGACCATGCGCGGATCGTGCCTCAGTGCTGGGCTTCTCACTTTCGAGCGCCCCCGTCGACGTGGGCGCGGGCGTCACGGCGTCGGTATTTTTTTGGCGTGGGCGGGCCTCACAGACAGCAGTTGCTGCACTCGGTCCCAGTAAGAACTACAAGAACACCAAGAAAACAATAAAGAGCTGTACAAAAGAATCATGTCGGGTGAAACAGGCCGCGACTTGCAGACTTAGCCAGCAGGGATCGTTCGGCCTTTCAGGGCGTAGCTTCTCTCAGTTGTCCTTTTCCCGAAAAAGCTGTGTGAAACGGGCATCCACCAACCAGCACGCTCCATGGCAGATGTGTAGCGAAAGAGCGGCCCAGCTTCACAGTAGCGTGAGTCTCGCAAGGGCTAGCAGCGAGGAGGAAAAGCGCGCTGCTGCCGCGTGCCCTTTGTGCAGAGCCATCAGCTGTGAAAAAGTCCTGAGCGAAGGTGGAAAGACGCGTGCCATTGCTCCAACCAACGGCACCGCACTTGAGCAGGCCCAGCTTCCCAACATGTGGGTCTCGCAAGGGCGACCCAGTGCGGTCACAATGTGACAGAGGAGCCGTGCTGAGGGCAAACCAGCCAAGTCTTAGCGCAGCTGTCGATCCAGGCCCAGCTTCCCAATGGTGGGCATCGCAAGGGTCAAGAAGCACTGCACTTCA